GATACTATGCTTTCATTTCATCATCCTTGCGTTTTTCACCGCGAAATGCACGGCGCATCCCACTAGGATTGACCAGTGTGGGGAATGGCGCTGGCTTTCCTATACTGAACTATAAGGGTGATTTTCGCGTCTAAAACGGAAAATATAGTGAGTCTGAAGCCGGTCGAAGAGCTTTCAATGGAGGAATGGGAGTAAATGATCCGGACTAATCCCCTATCATCGGCTTCTCGCGAGAAAACTGACTAGAAGTCTTATCTCACCCGATCCTCGTCAGCATTCACTTTACTTCCTCAATGAATTCTTCCTATTTTGAAAACGATAATCGAACGTGGCCCAGGAGCAGGTGTGGGGCAGGTGGTTTCCGCGATGGATTACTCAGGACAGACCGGTTTCCATTGTGAGGTCATCATCATTTTTCGTGAGGCAGACTTCATCGCTGTGACGCGTTTCATTTCTGGTGGAGTTCGACTCGGTGGGGGCAGATTGTTAGGCCGCCTTGCCCCAACCTGTAAGTTCCTGTAACTAAAGTGGCTCACTTATGCCACTTCACCGCTTTACAGAGGTTTACAGATCTCACCAGAGTGTGACCTGTAAATAATCTAAAGCAAAAGAAACTAGAAAAAGGGGCTAGTGGAACTGCAAAATGTCGACATTTTGCAGACCATGAAACCACAGAAAATCGTTACGTTGGGGAAAATTCCGAAATATAACCCTCCCGTCCAATTCTGATTGAGCAGGCTAAGGAGAACCTCCTAATAACCATTCAGTTGGAACAGACATGAATTCCTCCTCACCTTCACAGTCGAGGATTCCTCAACGATAAATCTGGAGGAGAGCGCACCTTGAGGTAGCTGAGAGGAGCGCAGTGTAAGAATACTGTACAAATCATCCTCGTCGCCATGAAAGACCCTCTAGGAAGAATTGAACTGCAGTCCTTGAGCATCAGGAACAAGTGAGGCACCCTAAAAAGCATAGGTGCGAATTAAAGTCACTAAAGGCCGGCCGAGTTTTGCTCATTGCTCAGCAGATAACAGACCAAGGGGCAGGATTAGCGCCAGTAAGAACATGTATCGTGGCTTCGAGGGGATTAATTATTCCCTTGAAAAACATCTCACATGCTAAATGATATCTTCTCGTGCTTTTGAAACGCCTCAACGTCAATTTTCACTTTCTCTCTGCTCGTCCTGCTCTCTTCAATGTTGCTGCTTCTCCAGCGTTCTTCTCTCTGGTTCGTCAGTTTCAGCGCTTTTGTTTAGCCTTATATGTAAACATTTTGAATTTTTTCTCTAGGGCAATGTCCTTGCCCTTGAATCGGAAGGGCTAATCTTAAGTCCTGTTAGTTTTCCTTCTTCTTCGAGAAGTGCACAAAGTTTCATCGAACGAAATACGTTTTGGACTCAGGCCACGTCCTGCTGCTGGGGAAGATACGAACCCCCATTTCCGTCTTCTGTTACGGACCCTCCCCCAACTTCGTCCTCTTTCACGACCCTCTCCTCAATCCTCCAGCTTTCCCGGCCTCCTAGCACATTTTCCGAAATTTCCCAAAAAGTTTCCGTTCCCTCGAGCGGGGAAGGGGGGGGGCGGAGCCGTCAGGCCAACTGTTAGTTTCAATAGTCGTAAATAGTATTTGTATAGTAGTTCTGAAATGACACCAACTCGGGGAAGGGCGGGTTGAATACGCTCCCCCCTCTCCCGACGACGAGCAAATACGCTCCCCTTCCGCCCGGCGACCAAATACGACCCCCGTTGGGAATTCCTAACGCAGAACGTGCTCTGGTTGAACTACCACTTCATTTGTGAACGGACATGAAGTGCATGACGGATCCCAAATAAGAATTGCTCTCTTTGAAATATAGTCTAATCTTCCTTAAATTGGCAAACAAGATTTCCTTATAAGAATTGACGATCTGGTCCGCTTCCCCATCTTCCATTTCGTCTTCACATCTTCACCATCAATAGTCACTCCTCGAATCAATTCTGTGAACTATTTGCCATTTGCAGAATTCGCAGTGAGTCAGAGAGAAGTTCGTTGGTATCTGGGTTGGGGGGGGGGTGGAAATAGAAGTGTACCTGCCAGCTGGCTCGCTCGTGAATAAAAAAAAGTGAAGGAAAGAGTCGAAAATGTTCGATATCGGGGTTTTCCCTGCCAAGCAAAAGATAACTAGGCTGTGATTCCCGGGCGAGAGGCCAGACAAGGGCGGCGAGAGAGCACGCAAACGAGCAAGACAATTGATGAGATATCTAGCAAGGAGGGCCGTCGCCACTTACTTTTGCGGAGTCACTTGTACAACCTTATGCCTTACCCCCACTACATAACAACTTTCTAACGCGGAACTTGTACAGGGTTGTTCATTGCGGTTCTCAATGCCTCCCTCATCCTCCAAAGGGCTTAGATACGTATAAGCCGTGCCTTTAGCGAATTATGCAACGATGCCAAGATTGCAGCAAAAGAGAAGCTGAAGAATACCATTACCATTAGCCGATTTTCATATTTTGCATTTTTTGATGATTTTTCCCGCTCATGGTTTTCCTATTTGTGATTCCTCGTGGTCATCGGCTAGTGGACATGAATATTTTCAATTTGTTGAGCCAATGAATGTTTCAGAATGTCAGAAAAAGGGACAGAAGGACAAGTGTTTGTCGTGGACAATCGACGACGCGACGAACTGATCAAGACAATCCTCATCATCGTGTTGATTATCGTTTTTCCGGTAAGTGAGAAGATTTCCGCGAACCTTCTTTCTGTAAGCCTCTGAGGATTTGCCATTTAAAGGAGCTTGGATCCCCCGGAGTGGCGTTTTCCCCGTCTTTCGTTGAAACTTCCCCTGCCACTCGTCATAAGTCACAACTGTGAACGATGGGGCGTGTTACGGGAGCGCTGCTTGGAGCACAACCAGGGATCTTTCCCCATTTCCCGGGCTCAAGATGGCATCACTGGTGGAAAAATTCCGCCCTGGCTCAGTATTAGACCGCACCGTGTCTCACGCCCTATTTTTTGCAGGAATCATGACTGTACATTGATTCAGCAATTGTTCCAAAGCACAGTTATACCCTAGCCTCCTTGGTCTGGCTTGTAGCTACTCTGGCTTTACCGTGGCTACTCTTGACCGAATTCCCTACAGTTTTTTGT